GAGATTTCTACATTCAGGTGTTCGTTCCTTGCATCATTATCTACAACAACCAACATTTGGAAACAACTTAGATTTCATCAGAGGATGAATGGATAAAGAAAATGTACATGGGCCTCCCCGGTGGCGCAGTGGTGAGCGCTGGGTTGCAAAGCTGCCCGCAGCCTCTGCAGGGCAGGTTCGATCCCCCTGGCTGCTCCCCGGCCACCGGAGGAGGGTCCCACATGGCGCGCAGACCTCTCCTGCCGCCCGCAGCTCCCCTCAGCAGTGTACTTCGGTCCTTCTGCCTGCTCTGCTCCCTGCTCTGGCTCTGGTGAATTCTCTCACCCTCCCGTGCTTCTGACTGTACCCAGTGCTTGTATAAATAAATAAATAAATCTTAGAAAAAAAAAAAGAAAATGTACATATATTTATACTATGGGATATTGTTCAGTCATAAAGGAAATCCAATAACATGGATGAACCTTGAGAGCATTAGGTTGAAATAAGTTAGGCAGAGAAAGACACATGCCTGTATGACTCACTCATATGTGGAATCTTAAGGAAGCATTCACAGAAACCAAGAGTAGCGGGGCCTCACTGGTGGCACAGGTGGTTGAGCGCCACACTGTGAAGCTGTTTGCAGACGCTGTGGCGCGGGTTCGATCCCGGCCGGCCAAGCAGAAACCCACATGGCGCAGCAGACCTCTCCTGTCTCGCCCGCTGCTCCCCTCAGCAGTATATTTCGTCAGTCTGCCTGTTCTGTACTCCACTCCTATCTCTGGTGAATCCTCTCACCCTCCCATGCATCTGGCCTGTATCCCAGTTCTTGTATAAATAAATAAATATTAAAAAAAAAAAAGAAACCAAGAGTAGAGTGTTGCTTGCCAGGGGCAGAGAGGAGGGGTAAGATGGAAGAAATGGGTGAAGGTGTTCAAAGAGTATAAACTTCCAGTTACAAGATGGTTAAGTTCTAGCATTCTCCTGTACAACATGGTGACTGTTGTTAACAATAATGCATTGTATGCTTGAACACTGCTAAGAGAGTAGATTATTGTAAAGATTTATGTATTTATGCATACAAGAACTGGGGTGCAAGCCAGAGGTGTGGGGAGGGGGGGCAGCGAGAGGATTCACCAGAGACAGAGTGGGAAACAGAACAGGCAGACTGACTGAAATACACTGCTGAGGGGAGCAGTCGATGAGGCAGGAGAGGTCTGCTGCACCATGTGGGTAGCTCCCCCGCTGGCCAGTGATCAAACTCATGCTGCAGAGGCCGAGGATAGCTTCACAGTGCTGTGCTTAACCTCTTGCCATCAGGGAGGTAAGAGAGTAGATCTTACAAGTTCTTACCCTACACATACTCAGAAAAGGTAATTGTCAGATTATGAATATATTAATTAACCTTGTGGTAATCATTTTGCAATATACGCATATATCAAATCATCACCTTGTACACCTTCAACTTATCCAATGGTATAATGTAAATTATATCTTAATAGAGTGGGGAAAAAGAATGATTCTCACTGAGATAATATGTGTATTGACAAAATGTGTTGCATCTAATAAATATTCATTGCTGTTTACTGTTGCTTCCTTTTATTTGTATGCATATTGAAGAATAGCACACATGTGGTGAGGTGCACCAATCTTACACAAATGAATACATTTTTACATCTGTATGTACCTGTGTAGCAACCCCTAGATCAAGATACAGGACATTTCTCGCACTTGTCAATATCCACTCTGCTTCCCAGAGTGACCAAGATTCTGACCTTTTTCATGGCAGATTAGGTTTTCCCGCTCTTCAACATTATAGAAATATAATCATATAGTGTGTGCTCTTTGGGGTCTGGTTTCTTTCAGTCAACGTTATGTTTAGTGAGATTCATCCCTATTGCCATAAATAGCAGTGGTGTTTTTTTTTTTTGTTTTTCATTGTTGTGTAATATTCTACTTATTGCATATATTGTGCATAGACCAGAAAAAAATACACTGTGCTATGGATGGAAAAATGAGTTATTTCTATTGCTTTTGCTGTAATAATCTGCTGTGAACACATTTGTGAGTGTCTTTGGTGAATGTAAGTATTCATTTCAGTTGTTCTGTTTCTAGAGGTGCAATAGCTTGGTCACAGGTCTTTGTAAGGTTAGCTTTTCTAGATAACACCAAGCTGTTCTTCAAGTGGTAGTACAGGTTCAAATTCCCCACAGCAGTGTGTAAGATTTTCAGTTGCTCCACAGCCTCACAACCACTTGGCTTTCTGAGTCCTTTCATTTTAGTCATTTTAATGGGGTTATATCAGTGTCTCGTTGAGCTTTCATTTTCCTGGTGACTAATACTGATCACTGTGCGTGTGTATTTGAATATCCCTGCTTGTGAAGTTTTTATTTTTTCAGGTCTTTTGTCCTTTAAAAAATGTTTGCTATTATTTTGTATCATCATTTACTGTACTTTTAAATTACTTGTATAGCTATCTACTCTCAAAAGATTATAAACTTCCTGATATCAAGTTTTATCAGTGTAGCATTCATATATGAATCCTTGAATAAATCTCCCCTTATATATTTGCTGAATAAATTAGCCAAGTGGCCAGGATTATGAGAAAATGTCGCCATCTGGTGTCCACAGAGTGAATAAGATGTGGGGATGCAAAGCCACATGGCTAGTTCATTAGTGTTTCCATTTACGTTTTACCCTACATAGAATTTTATAAATAAATTTTTTTAGGTTTATTTATTTATACAAGAACTGGGGTACAGGCCAGATGCATGGGAGGGTGAGAGGATTCACCAGAGACAGAGTGGGGAACAGAACAGGCAGACTGACGAAATACACTGCTGAGGGGAGCAGTGGGCGAAACAGGAGAGGTCTGCTGTGCCATGTGATTATCTTCCCGGCCAACTGGGATCGAACCCCCACTGCAGAGGCTGCAGACAGCTTCACAGTGTGGTGCTCAACTGCCTGCGCCACAAGGGAGGCCCAAATTTTATAAATTATTATTATTATTTTTTAAAGATTTATTTATTTATTTATATAAGCACTGGGTGCAGTCAGAAGCGCGGGAGGGTGAGAGAATTCACCAGAGCCAGAACGGGGAGCAGAGCAGGCAGAAGGACCGAAGTACACTGCTGAGGGGAGCAGCGGGCGGCAGGAGAGGTCTGCGCGCCATGTGGGACCCTCCTCCGGTGGCCGGGGAGCAGCCGGGGATCGAACCGGCACTGCAGAGGCTGCGGGCAGCTTCACAACCCAGCGCTCAACCGCTGTGCCACTGGGAGGCCCTATAAATTATTTTTTACCTTGCCTCTACACACTTGATTTTTAAAAATTTCATATGTACTGTCATTTCTTTTAGATGTACTTATAGAACTTGGACTTGTTTTTCCTTTGACTATAAATCACTGTGTACCCGAGAGACCCCAGATTTTAGTAGGATTACACATGGAACAAGATGGTCATAGGCAAAAATATTTTCCTATGAAGGATATGAGTTGAAGGGGAGGTAGTGAAGTTCACTGTTGTCACGTCTTCCCCTTCCCCTGGCCCCTCTACTCACCACTCTTCAATCAGTCCACTGCTGAGAATTGGGGTCTCACTGGAGTGATCAGTTCTGGATTACCATAGCGCCCCTTTGCCCATCTATAGTTTCTGTCCAGGTTAAAGACAAGAGCTTACACACAAGGCCTCTTGGACAAAGCCACACTGTCAGATATCATTGGCCTGGCCTATCATTGGCTGTTCCCTACTGAGAAAGGCCACTGGGGGTGTCCCAGGCTTTCATATTCTGAGCACTGAGACATATCCTGTCATATCTTTCTTGTACTTCCTGTGAGCAGATATATTCTGGAACTCCTTTATATTGGAATGCTAAAGTAGGTCATAGGACTCAGCCAAATTCAGTCCAGATTCATAGCCAGTTAAGGTTTGCAGTTGAAGTCTCAAGAGTTATTTTTGTCTCTGCTTTTGTCTCTTCCTTGAGCAGCTTAATATGTGGTAACTGATCAAAGCAAGTATCCCCTGGTCCTTTTCCCAGTATAACATCTTCACTGAACTGGTAAGTCAGGGACAATATCCCTATCCTTTTATCTTCCTTTATATTACTGTCCAAATGGTGCCTACAACTGCTTCTGACTTAGGGAGATGGTGACTACTAACCTTTGTATTATATTCTGAGCTACTTCGATAGGCACATAGAAATTTATATATTCCTGATGGATTAAAATTTTGATTTGGTAAATAAAGACTTATTTCTCATTATACTTTCTGTGTAAAAATTTGCAAATATTAAAGTATCTCCCTTAGGAGCTTTTCTTCAGTTATTTTCCTGGTCTATTCTTTGTTCTTTTACACATTATTATATTTTTCTGGTAGATGGCCTATTGCTATAATTTACTTTTTAGCCCACTCTAATAGTCTCTTTTATTCATATATTTGGGTTTTTTGTCATGTTTGTCATTCCATTTGCCTCACCCAGTCTATGTTTATTTTTTGCTTTCTTTTGGACATTCTGAATTACCTTTTCTGAATTACCCTTTTTCTAAATTTTAAATTCTTATTTTCAAAGCCCCTCATTTAGAATATTGTTTATTCTACTTCATTTCTTATAATATGCATCCTTGCTAGTGCACAGTGCATATATAACAATTTATTTAATGTAATAATAGTGCATATTTAATGACTGAAGGTAACCAGTATAATTTTTGTCCTGAACAGTTCATCAGCACTAATAAGCTACATTCTGATCACTGTATACCGATTTACATGCTAATTGTAGTATTTTAGCTATTTTCCCACAATGTAGACTTATTTTAGTAGCAAACCTTTCAGAATATCTTGTCAGGTCAAGAATGAAGCAGAAATCTTCCTCCTTTGTTTGGTGATCCAGATTTCTGCACTTGCACTAGTATTTCTTGACTCACAATTCTTTGCTGTTTGGGCATTTTCTTTCAGTTTCCTCACAGCTGTTTTGCTGTGGAACTGCTTCTCCATGGAGCTTTTGCAAAGGTTTTAGTAAATGGACAAAAGCAAAAAAAAAAAAAAGTAGACCTCTTCCGGAAATCTTCATTTGACAAATAGTCTCCTGGACATCAGATGTACAACTAATGAGGGAACCACAGAACAGTAGTCTTATAGGAAATCCTGAGACTCTACTTTCAATAATCTGCTGATGCAAATGGCCTTTTTAAAGTATTGTTATATTCTGCACAGAACATTACTCAGCTAAGAGTTATACTACCTAAACAAAATTTGTTTTTTATACTCTTTTTGCAGAGTTGGATTTTCTTGGTTCAGTTACCTGTTGTTGCAGCTTCTGGATCTACAGTTTATTCTTTAGCTCCCAATTTCCTCTAAAGAATCCCTATATGTGCAAATGATTAAGTCATCTAGTTATGCTGATTGACCCCTTCTTTAAGGGCTCAAATTGCATTCCCTCTTCTTCTATCTGAGACCCCCATAAGCATATACACACATAATATGAACTAGAATTGCACATTATGGGTTATCCTTACCTCTGCTGTGCTGGCAAACATTCTTTCTTTCTTTGTGCTATTAAGGATGACTTACAAAAAATGTTATCTAGAGAAAGCTCAAGATCTTTCCTTGCCTGTTTCTCAGGGCTTCCCCAGGGAAGAATCCAATCATTCTACTTACAAAGAAATGTGCTCACATAGGATATTATATTCTGCCAAAATGCAGGTGAGTGAAACATGGGGAAGGCACCCATCTTTGAACTCTTTGAGTTCACATTTTTATTAAAGAATCAGTCAACATCACTAGAAATATAAGGGGATGGAAGAAATTGCAGGTCTGTTTCTCTCAGGGAGTTCTTGTGGCTGGAGAAATACTTTGGTCATCTGAGGGAGATGACAGGTAGAACAACTTAAAAATAGTATGGAATAGCACCAAATTATTTGCACAGCATGTCATCATTTAATACTTCTCAGTCTACTTTTATTTCTGCAAAACTATCATAAGGCCCAAAGAACTGTCATCTGGATCACTGTCCTTTCTGGGAAACTGGGCAGAGGGGCAGGGAGGGAGGATATTATCTTATTTTCCTCATGTGAAAGGGCGATCTAGAGGCTGATGCCCTGAACTGACCTGCAAGGATTGGAGCAAACAGTTCCTGCCAACTTTGCAAGACTCAGGGTCATGTTCTTGTTCACTATTCTGCTGCTGATGGAAAGAACACATCTTTTGTAGACCCATCAGTTGAGTTGGACTTTGGAGAGAGGCAAGAGATTTTTTCTTCTGCCGCCTTTGATTCTAAACTTTGATGCTAAGCCAATTTACCATATTTCCCGGTTCACTAAGTTACTAGATTCTGCTCTAGCTTGAGGCCTAAGTTCTGGATTTGAAAAAAAAAAAAAATCTTTATCTTTTCCTATTTCTCTTGGGACCTGAAAGAGGAGGCTGAATTCCTAAAATAATTGCCTAATACACTAATATTTACATTTCATACCTTTCTAAGCACATCAATTCTAACAATCTAGCACTCCCCTGTCAATGAACTTATTAGACCTTGTAGTTCCTTCCTGCAAATAGTATCTTTAAATTCTGCCTTTTTCCTCCTGTTTTCTTTAGTGCAGTATAAAGGAACTCCAGGATTTTATAGCTCACAAAATCGTCTAAGAGACCTTTATGAAGGGGGTGGGGTGGGCATCCTGTCCAGTAGGACTCGTCCCCACCTCCAACTATGAGACTCCTGCTACTTAGGCTCCTGTACTAGCCTTACTGCTGCAGCTGTGGTTCTGTTCATGTTCAGATTTAGGAGACAGCTAGTTGCTCCAGGAACCTCAGGAAACATATGAAGCTCTGCAGGGGATCAGCAATAAAAGAATTATTTGGTGTTTCATAATATTGGAATTATCATCATAAGAATTGTTTCATAATATTCATGTTTAATAGTACTAGGTTTTCTCAAACTTTTCCTTATGTAAAATCCTCTTGACATGTTTATTTATTACTATAATGTAGATAAACAGTGAAAAAATAAATTTGCTGTTACTGCTAGTATTTTATCTATTTCCAGAAATGATTTAAGAGAAATTATCTTTTGGGTCTGACATTTCACCCAGGACAAACTCTGCCATTGACCTTGGATCTATGGCTAAGTGTCTGACTGTCAGGACAGTTTCTTCTACAAACTCCAAGCTTAGATCTTGCTTCAGTGTGCATCTATTCTACCTGTGACTCTGCTAGACATGCCAACCCTTCTCTACCCTTAGCAAAAACTATTCTGTACTCCCAGGTCTCTTTGTAGTCTGAATGATCTCAGAAATATCAGGAATCTGAAGGCCTGTAAAGTGAATGGTTATCATGGAAAGTCCCAGACACCAGGGAACTTAGCTGCCAGTGCTACCTTTATTTATTCCACGTGTGTATTTCCAGAAGGACGAAGGCCGACTGGTGGTAAAAACCAAACAATTTAGTTAGAATAGCATTACTACTGACCAAAATGAAAATCTCCTTGTTGAGCTGTTAGAACTGAGGTCAGGCTATCCCTCCCGCATCCACCTGGTGTACACTGGCACAGGATGAATTGAGAAACTGAGTAGAAGAAACCAGGCACAGTAGACAGTCTACCTTCTCATGCTTTAATCCCATACCCTGTGCTCCATTTATGGAGGACAGTCTCCCCAGTCCTTTCCACTACCACAATCAGAGCAGGTGAAATACTTGATTTAGCCTCAACTTCATGGAACCTTTGTCAGGCAACAGAGATCTCTGGGCCATGAGATATTAATATTTAGTTCTTAATTACATGAAAATGAAATCACGTAAGAAAAAGCAAACAACACAAATACATGAAAGCCTTTTACTCCGTTCTTCTTCAGGATCCCAGGTACTGGGGTTCATTTTTCCCTGTTATCAGAGAACTGAGGCATGCATGATTGGGTGTCAGGAGAATAATCTTTATGGCCTTAGCAGCAGCCACAGCTTTTTCTTATTTTTTCCATGGTTTGATCTCAGATCTTCTCCAGTTGTCTTCATGTAAATGAAGTGACCTAGTCAATCATGATTGTATAATTATCATAGTGCCTTTGTAAGATGACACTGTTCCAAAATCCCCTCACAAACCCATACAAAGAGGGTGGGGTGGGTGGGTTTGTAGACATGTGGGAATGCAAATAATCTCATTATGATTTAATTATGCTTTACTGAATCCCTCAGCACCCAATGCTGCATCTCACTTGTAGTAGAGGTGCTAGGGACACAACCAAGAGACTGGTAGAATGGTTGGAAGGCTGTAAGCATGAGTAGTCTAATAGGGAAAGAAAAACTCATGAGGAAAGAGGCTTCTGACTGTCCTATCAGTGCCTGGCACCAGGAGTCATTCTGCCAATGGGGATGGGAGCAGCCTGACAAAGTTCACATGAAGCAGCCTTCAGGTTTCACTCACCAGACACTTGTCTTATCTCTCCGCAGGATCAAAGGAAAGTGTGTGGTGAAGCGAATCAGAGGGAGATTTGTAGAGTTATCCTGTGAATGTGTGGCAAAGCCATCAATATGCAAATCTCCTGTGTAGAGTTCAGGGCTGTGTGCTTTAAGATTTAAGCCCAGTAAGGACAGAGCCCTAAAGGCTGGTCCCTCGCCAAACCTAAGGGGTTGTCAAGGGCCACTTTAAACTTCAGGCTGTTAAGTAGTCTTTAGGATATGGAACAGCCTGGTTTTGGGGAAAATATAGTTACCACAACCTCTTGAAAGTCTTCCAATTCTCCTACTTCAAGCCTGTGAAGTAGAGGCAGGAGAAGCCTCAGTTCAGTTTGTACTTTGGGCAAAATTATCTCAAGGTGGAGAAGATTGAGAGGTTCTGCTCAGGGTTGTGGGAAGAGGTTATGTAGATCTGGGTAAGCCAGTGAACTCCCTAAGAAAGGTCTTCCAAGGCTGACAAGAGGGATTGTTCTGGCCCAACCCTGGGTAAGAGGTGAATGCAAATCTCTCTCACATGGGACCTAGCTAGGTCTTTTCTGAGTGGGTCCTCTGATGTCTTATTAAGTGATAGCCTCTGCTGAAGCTTTTTCCACAGGTAGGGCACGTGAATGGTTTCTCGCCAGTGTGTGTTCTTTGATGCCTGACAAGGTGGTCCCTTCGGCTGAAGCTTTTCCCACATTCATTGCACCGACAGGGCCTCACTGAGGCATGTCCTCTCAGGTGTTTGGCAAATGCAGCGCTGTGGTTGAAGCACCGCCCACACTCACTACAGACATAAAGCTCCTCAGCTGCATGTGTCTTCCGGTGGGCCAGATACCGCCTGTGGTCACTGAAGTCCTCTCCACACTCTCCACACAAATAGGGTTTGCCTCCAAGGTGAATTCTTTGGTGTGTTGTTAGCACAGATTTCTGGCTGAAGCTTTTGCCACAAATAGTACAAAAGAAGGGTTTTTCTCCTGTATGTGTCCTCTGATGCCTGACAAGGTCTGACGTCCAGCGGAAGTGTTTTCCACAATCATCACATCTATAGGGTTTCTCAACACGTGGAGTTCTCTCAGCCTGGACGAGAGGGGAGGTCTTATCCAAATCCTTCTGGTTTACGGGGAATTTATAAGCAGTGCCCATTTTGTGAACCTTTTGGTGCCTGGCAAGATGTGAGCTTCGTGTATAACTTTTCCCGCACTCCATACATTTATAGGGTTTTTCTCCTGTGTGAGTTCTCAAGTGTCTAACAAGGTGGGAGTTACAAGTGAAACTTTTCCCACATACAGTACAGTCATGATGTCTTCCTAACAAGGGGAGGAGAGGCATGGTTTCCTGATGATTTGTGAAACTATTAAGTTGGGAAATATTTGTACCAAATCTTCTTTCAGTAAGTCTACCTGGATCATCTTCCAAGACTATTTCCCAATCTGGAGTCTGGTGAATTTCTGGATCTCCCAAAACAGACCTGTGTAGAGCTTCCAAACTCAGATCTTCTCGTTCAAGATTCTCTTCCTCATCTTCACTCCTATCTCCTGTAGAGGGAGTGAGAGGAGAAAAGGGGCATTATGGAGGCAACAATGTCTTCTACACAATGGGCTATTATTAAATGAGGTTTTGAAAGGACAAGACCATAGAGACTAGAAAAGAGGGAAGTAACTAAGTAAATGCCTACATGTTATCTCATGCTATCCATAAGCCTTAGTTTGGGCAAATACTAATATCCTCATTTCACAAAGGTAGAGATTAAGGATCGTTTAAGTGAACTGTTTAGCAAGTAAATGGTACAGCTGTAATTCCAGTTTCTTTTTTCTTTCTTTCACCATTTTGTATTACATATCCTTCAAATGAATCATTGGGGGGCTCAGAGGGTAGGGAAAGATAGGAAGATTTCGTATTCAGAGGGAGAGAAGTACTGGCTGACATATTAGAATAGCCAATGAAAGGGGCCCCTGGGGGAGAACTACTGACTAGAGGAACTGCCAGCTTGGGAGGGAAGATTCCCTTATCATTCCTTACCTGTGTAGGTAAAACTCAGGATTTCTGGTTCTTGAGGTTCTTGAAGTTCTGGGATATCTGGGACGAAAGGCTCTTCCTCTCTAATGTGGGAGAGCTCATCTAGTCTGGGGATTGGAAATGCTGCTCAAGAGAAGGAAATAAAAGATACTCTAATTGGATCAACAATTCCCTGTGTTAAGAGCAAGAATTTTCTGTTTGGCAGAATACAGAACAAATTCATAGCCAAATCAGTAGATCCAATCTTTGGTCTCTAGCTTGAGCACATCTTAACTGCTGCATATCTCTCACTTGTCTCTTCCAACTCAATAATTACACAACTGTAAATATTACTCTCTTTTCCTATGTTTAAGTAAGATTGAATCCCACTTAATTTCTTGTTTCAAACTCATGCACTTACCTCAAATATACTAAGGCTATATAGCATTATAACTTCATTTTCTTATCAGATGTTTTCAACCACTTTAAGCATTTTCTTTTCCCTTAACATGGAAAGATAACATTGTCCTCAGCTAATCCTTAATCTCATTTGTGAGGTAGGCATAGAGAAGTGTAGTGCATACAATAGAAGGTCTAAGATGTCCATAAACTTCCAACAGGATAAAGATCTCTGTGCTCAGAACATTCTACAAACACTTGAAATTCCTTACACAGAGAAACCACAATCCCACAGTCTTCTTCCAAGACATATTCTCCATAGAACTCTTTCTGTGTAGGATCCAGGTCACTCCACTGGTCCTGGGAGAAGCATACAGCCACATCTTTGAAAGTTACCAACCCCTGAAACAACACAAGGATTCAATTAGAAAATAATACTTCATAGAACCGCCAATTTCCTGAAATAAAGGTCATTCATATAGTGAGGTCTTTCCAGGAGAGAAAAAGAACTCAAATGGGACACTTGGCTCCCTTTGCTTCCTGACTTTCTACCTTTGCTTTGGCTCCATGGTTCCATTCAATTCCACTGCTTTTTCTCAAGACCAGCCTATGTTCTTTTTCTTGAGGATATTGTTTAAGAAATACAAGAAAGATCTTAAGTATTCATTCAACTCCCTATTTGCATTAATGTCCCCTATAGTTCTACAAGTTTATCTTCTAAGAAGCTTTCCTTAACTAACCCTATCCATTCATGCTACCACTTATACAGCATAAACAAGACTTGTTTCTTCATTTACACTACACTCTAAAAACACAGATAAGTTCTGCCATTTTGTATTCTAGGCACATGGCCTAGTTTCAGGGCCATGAGGGAGTATATGAATACTTCCTCAATGTCATGGCTTGACTACATGTAATTCTTGGAAGAATCAACAAACATACAACTACAGAGATAGGTTCTGTAGCACAGTCTTTTTTATAAATGACCATCAAGTTTATTCTTAAGAAACAAAACAGGGCCTCCCCTGGTGACGCAGTGGTTGAGCGCTGGGCTGCGAAGTTGCCCGCAGTCTCTGCAGCGCTGGTTTGATCCCTGGCCGGCCAGCGAGGGTCCCACATGACGTGATAGACCTCGCCTGATGCGGCCACTGCTCCCCTCAGCAGTGTATTTCTTCAGTCTGCCTGTTCTGTTCCCCGCTCTGGCTCTGGTGAATTCTCTCACCCTCCCACTCTTCTGACTGTACCCAGTGCTTGTATAAATAAATAAATAAGTCTTAAAAAAAAAAAAAAGAAACAAAACAAACCCTCATTCAACAACTTCAAAGTTATACTGGAATGACACAAAATAATCCCATTTTGTTAGTACCTCTAATTAATGGCAGATAAAGAAGGTGATATTTATATATAGTAAATATAAATAGAAAATAAATATATAAAAATATAATGTTCATTATACATAATATTTAATAAATATAATTTATAATTAATCTCATCAGATGCAATTTCTCTCCTTCCAGATATGCTGTCTGTAACTTAGAATTTAAATAGAAAGTGGAAATTTGTGTCCTGTCTGACCTATGTAGCAAATAACAAATGCTAATGACTCTCCAGATGTTTTTCTGGTGGGGAAGGAAACTAGGATGCACCTGTGATAGAGCAGTAAGAAGGGCAACCATCTCTGGGTTTCCAGTGTTCCTCTCTTCGTGAAGATCTGGGTCCTGGGGCACTGGAACCTCTATGGAAAAAAGAAGGCAGAGATCAGCAATATGTAAAACACCCCTGTAATTGGCAATGAGCTAGGCATCCCCTGTCATCTTTGGTAGAAAGGTGGGAATCAAGAAACCAGCCTAAGGGAAATTCAAATTATCCCAACCTCGCCACCTATAACACCACTGGATGCCAATGGAATAACCAAGAATGCTGTAAGTCTGGCTGTTTATGGGTGATGTTAGCTTGTATTGTGTCCTCCCAATAACCTGGATTCTGTGACTTACTCCCATTACCATCTACCCAGTCTCCTGTGTAGAGGAGAAATATCCCTCTCCTGTCACTGTGCAACAATCTCAGCTTGCTGCTGAGGCTTCCTACCGCTCTCCTGTGGGGGCTGGAACTCCGATTCATGGCACGGGGTCTGCTCTTCCGGTGCTAGATCTGGGCTCTGGGTAATGTCCTCATTGGACTCCTCGGTCGAGGTCTGCACAAGATCTTGTAGTTCAATAGGTGACTCGGACTCTGCTCCTGGTGGCACTGTTTCCTCTGACAGGACTTCCTGGCCATGAACATGGACAGTCACCTGGGAATAATTCCAACTTCCAGTCACCATGGAGTCAGAAGAAAAGTCTTGGTTGTCATCAGGGCTTACTTTAAGAGCAGCTGCCAATAGAAAACTCCCAGAAGGAACTGGATGAGGTGAAACTACAGTTCCACAGGGGCATGGATGGGGGAGCTGAAGGTTCTCCTCACAAGCAGGGGACATTGAGATATTGCAGTGCTTTCTCATTGTGCTGTCCCTGTCCCTGTCACCCACCAGGCTCTAGGTACCTATTCCTCCTATCTCCACCCATCCTATATGCAGTTTTCCTTCCCTATCTTGTTGTCCTGGAAGGAGGATCTGTGACTGAGGGTCTGTGAGAACCTTTGAGGAAGTTATAAAATTCTCCTCTCCAGGAACTGGAGGGTCCACTTTTAAAGCAAAAACCAAAGCCATAGGACCCTCATATGGGTGGGTGAGGGCCCTGAAGTATTCCCTAGGTGGGTGTTTCAAAAACCAGGAAGTCACATTCACACACACACAGACCTCTGCCCTATGAGGCTTATGGATCTAGGTGCAACCCAAGGGCAGAGCCAATTAAATCAAAAGGGTAATTTATAGGGGCCCTGCAAGTCCTACCCCCAAATCCATCCTCTCAGCAAATAGTCCCCCTCCACATCACACAGATCAGGACTCCCCCTCCTCACCCACCGCCTTGGTCTCCTGGGTTGTTTCTGCAAACCCTCCACCAGCGTCACTGCCTCCTCGCCACTTTCTGGCCGTTGGCCCCGCACCCAGCTCTGCAGTTCTCCAGGTAGGACGGTGAGGAATTGTTCCAGCACAAGCAGCTCTAGAATCTGCTCCTTTGTCCGCCTCTCTGGTCTCAGCCACTGATGACAAAGTTCTCGGAGTCGAATGAGAGCTTCTCGAGGGCTTGCAGCTTCCTGGTAGCGGAAGCGTCGGAAGTTCTGGTGGGAGGTCTCAAGCACAGGGTCATCCCTCTGCAAGACAGACTCTGGCCTGCAGGTGAAATCATCTTCCAGTTTCACCATTAGAATTCCTTCTTCTTCCCAAAGATCCTGGTCTTCCGGTTCCAAGGCTGTAGCCATTTTTTGGCTGTGGGGGGGGTCTCACACCATCTAGAATGCACGCTGTTGTTACCCCCCAATCTTAGCCTGGGCACCCCGAGGAGTATCTCCCAAGGGACCTGAGGTAGAAAGTAGAGACAAATAGCAATATTAAGCATTAACTTCTACAGAGGACAGCAGTTTTGAGTTCAACCATAGCCCCGTATACATGTTACCCCAAACTATGAAATCCCCATAACGTATTTAAAGTACATCTAGTTGGGATAACATGATCTGTCACTGAAAGTATGTTCTTGTTACTGAGATAAGGTTCATAACCCATAGAAAAATACTGAATTTCTACTCCAAGAAACCTGGTAACATAAAAGGAAAATGGCTAGGAGGAAGGACTCAATCATCTGCTGAAAAATGTGGTACGATGTGACCGTGTACACTGTTTTATACATATACATACACAATTTAAATATATACTAGATATATTCTGAGATATAACAGGCTGAAATAGATTGGGAAAAATGTATTCAGTTCATTTGAAGTGAAACACAAACATTGTAATTTCTTTGCAAAATGTGGACTCAGAGATTGTGTGAGGTTAACAGTGAATAGTTACAGTGGCTGGCATATAGATAGCTCAAAAAGTAACCTTCCTCTTAATATTTCTTTAATTGGAAGACCTACAGATCCTTAACTTCAAGTGTTCAATACTAAACTCATTATTCTTACTCCTAAGCCCACCCCTTATCCTGGAATCCTGTCTTAGCTAAGATACCACTTACACTCAGTTTTGTAATCCTGGGATTCAACTTGGATTCTTCCCTACTGCTTACTGTTCATTAAACCAACTCTGTCTCTGAAGCCTCTCAATCTGTGCCCCTTCCTCTTTCCCACAGCCTACTTTAGTTTGAAACTTTATCCCTTGCCTTAACTTCCTAACTGGGATTCCTGCAGTACTCAATTGTGGGCAAAGGGCAGCAGAATTACCTGTGAAGCTTTTCTAAAACAGAGTGTCACGCATCCTTCTGGATATTCTGATTCAGTCAAGAGAGGCAGCTGTATCTTTAGAAATGCTACATGTGACTCTGATGTGCATTCTAGCTAAGAAACACCCAAGTGCCTAAAGTTAAGCGGTCAGACCACTAGGGTCTCAATCCTGGATCGACTCTATGGGACACTGGGCAGTTTCTTATTCTCCTTATTACGCCTGTCACCACATTTACAGGAGGGAGACAATAATGGTATCCCTCTAACAGTTAATGTGAGGATGAAATGTATTATCTGGGAAGAACTCAGGAGTGATGGTAACCCAATGCTAACCGTTATCTTTTTAAATTATAGTTCTGATTACATCACTTAACATTTAAAAATAATTTCGTACTGTTAGTTCTGAAATTTTTGGCATGGCATATGAAGTTCCTGTCAGCTCTCAATTTAATTTTCAAGCCTCATGTCCTGTACTGTACCCTACATTTCTGTGCCATCTAGGAATGAATGCACTGCTGACCACCTTACAATAGGGCACTTTTCAGATCTCCATGCCTTTTTTTTTTTTTTAAGATTTATTTATTTTTTTATTTAAGCACAGGGTACAGTCAGAAACGCGGGAGGGTGAGAGTATTCACCAGAGCCAGAGCGGGGAGCAGAACAGGCAGACTGACGAAGTACACTGCTGAGGGAAGCAGCGGGCAGCAGGAGAGGTCTATGTGCCATGTGGGACCCTTGCCCAGTGGCCGGGAATCGAACCAGCGCTGCAGAGGCTGCGGGCAGCTTCACAACCCAGCACTCAACTGCTGCGCCACCGGAGAGGCCCTCTCCAGGCCTTAGTAAAGGCTTCTGGCTGCAATACTCACCCTCCTCCCCGTAATGCGGTACAGTGTATTCCTATTTCTTAACAGGTAGCCTCTTCTTTAGTCCCATTATTTACCATTTAGGTTCTTCTCAATTGGATTATAGCAACTGCCTTATTACTTCAAGTATTTATTATAACAATTTATAACATTCATAGTCTCACAAGAGTGAGTACCCTTGGCAAATCTGGTCTCCCCACTTTAAGATCCTCACTCACTTCTCTGTCTTTAAGTGAAAAACAGTTGACCCTTTAACAACTCAGGAGTCAGGGATGCACTTGAAAATCCCCATATAATTTTTAGTTGGCCCTCGGCATTCATGGGCTCCCTTCTGTGGTTAGATGAATGTATGAATGCAAAAAAAGTGGATCTGTGCAGTACTATCATTTGTTGTTCAAGGGTCAGCTGTACACACTTGTATTACTATCTTTGCTCTCCCCCCATACCACACACACAGTATATGCATTGGAAGCACACAAAAGCCCTATGCTTGTTAGCTTTTACACATGCTTTTCCTTCTGACTCTTTATTGTTTAGTTACTTTACTTATGAAGAAACAGCTCAGGCTTCAGGTCTTGAGATGTTTTCTTTGATCCCATTCCCCCTGCCTTAGACATGGTTAGAAATCACATAAGTGCTCCCACAGCAACCTGGAGACATCTTTTATCGCAGTATCTGTCCTGTCACACAGCCACTCTTTCCTGTAAAACACCTTGAAGTCAGGAGCTATGCTTTTGTTACCAATTTCTAACCTCTAAAGTGCACAATAAATGCATTTACATCAATAAAACTACACTTTGAAACTTTCTTCCTACTTTAAAAGAATCAATCTTTTCCTGTCATACTTTAATAAAAAAATTCACCAAATCTTGTTAAATCTAGCTCCTAAATGTTTGTCAGTGTCATCTCTCTCATCTCCGCTGGCATTCCCAGATGAAGCCATTGTAACACACTAGAAGGTTTTAATAGGATCTTTAAAAAATGATAGCCTCTGCCCTGACCCCACACTGGTAAATAATAGGCACTCAGATGTTGAACAACTTGGTTTAACTTTCATCACTGGTCTTCTTGGTCCCGCTGCTTCCAGACCATTTTCTATATTCAAACTGAGGGAGTCTTCATTTTTTTATCTTTTTGCTTCACTACAGCTGTCTCAGATCCAACTTCAAGGTTACCATCCACTCTTAGCCGTTGCGTCTAATGTGCTGTTGCTCATCACCAGCTTAATTTCAATGGCCATTATCATTCACTGTTATTTTTATCTCAAATCTCTTTCTAGTCATGTTTACTTCAATTTCCCACTATCCTCAAACATTTCCAGTATGTTTTCCTGGCCTGTTTTAGATCATTCCATTGTTTAGCTTTTCATGTGTTGTCCTACTTATCGACTCTGCTGTTGCTAACTCACAATGGTTTTAAGTTTTGGATTTTATGCTCATCTTTAGTAAGATTATTTTTCCTTTGGAAGTTGAGAGCCCTGGGACTTATATGAGCCCTTCAAACACAATTTCATTTGCTTTTACCTAAGTACTGATGGGTTCAGTGACCTTGGAGTGTTCCTAAATTATGCTGACAATGTATTATTTGGGTCAATCCCTGCAAGTGATTTTTGTCCTACCCAAGTATGGAGGCCCATTTCCTTACCCTTCTGTTTCATCAATAGGCAGATTTTCATGATGGGGGGAGCTCAAGGCTGCAGGTTGGCAGGTGGCTCAATTCCATATTCCTCTGAGTTCTTCCCCAAATTATCTCTTTGTTGACACACAGACATTAAAACCCGTAACTCTAGAAGCCATATTATAGTTTGAAATCTTCTTGGGCTGTAGTGGAGTCAGCTTACACTTACTCCATCAGCTTTTATTTCTGGAAACTGTATTTACCTTTAGTTTTCTCTTTTGGGGGGTGGTAGTGGTGGTGGGGGAAAGGTAGGAACAAACATTTAAAAAATGGGCAGGGGCCCATCCACACTGGTTCTACCTAAAGTATACAGGGAGGTATGAGTGGTGACTTTCATACATACAAAATCAGCCAATGTATTTACACTGTCCTTATGATAAAATTTAAACTCTTTACAATTTGATTCTTAAGGCTCTTCAGACCTGGCCCCTGCCCACCTCTCTTCTGGCATCAAGTCACTCTTTTCCAAGTCCCCACTGGACTTTCACTATACTGTCCACTCTGCCTGAAATATATGCCCCCCCTCGCCTCAACTCCCTGGATTTTTTGACTAACTCCACTCATGCTTCAAATGTCAATTTTCCTAGGACGTCTCCCCTGATCATTCAGATTGTCTATAGGGACTTGTACCTCCCCGTTTCACAGCACACACATATATCTATTTTTTCTGTGAGGCAAAAATTGTTCATCTTGCTGCTTAACTCACCGAACTGAGTTGAGGGCAGGGACAATGCAGCACTCTCAACCTCTGTCACAAAACAGGTACTTAGTAAGTACCTGGCACATGCAGAGAACACTCAGGGCTTTTTTTTTTTTAATTATTTTTTTTCCAGGATAAATGCCTTATCTTACTAATATTTATTTGCTCAGCAGTACATGGGCTAGACAAATCAATAAACAAATGTAAAAGAATCTATTGTTTGGATTCTGAGTAAAACAATTCTCTGGTTTCTGAAGTGATGGGACCACGATGCATCGCAAGGTATTTCAGGTTGCCATGGGATAACCTAAATGCAAGTCAAAGCTGGGTATTGAAAAAAAGTCACTTTCTTTTGAAGATGTGAAGCAACTTTAATAAGCACAAAACCAGACATCAAGAAATTTAATGCAACTACAATGATTATTTGTCCACACAGCTTCCCAGGCCTCCCTCACTCCCACCCCTGTCCCCTACAAGGCAGTGAGAGAAAATGGAATTGATAGGCATCCTCTTGGCTTATTGAAGGAGTATCTATTATCCCCAAAGTCCAAGAATCCATGCCTAGCACAGCAGACTTTCTAGAAACTCTCATTGTTTTCTAGTGGCACTAGCTACAAGATATTCCCTCTATGGATTCTACAGAGTATGAATTGAGAGAAGGATTCCTACTCTCATAGGGCTTTGCTAGCCAAACAAAACAATGAATTGACATTGCCACATATAACCTGCTGATTTTAAATGTTCTTCAGAAATCATAAATTGAGATTTCCACTGTTTATTCTGCATTTGCTTTGGCAGCTTAGAAACGTTGAGATGAAGACAAAACAGTGCAATGAGAGAGGAAGAGGAGTCCGTGATGGGACGAGAGACAGGAAGGAGCACCAGATTAGGGATCCAAAGAGACTCCAGCCCCAGACTGCAAAGTAACCAGAGCTGCTCTAAAGGTTTCATGAGATAACATATAACAGAATCCTTGTAAAGGGCAAAGCCCTCTGCATATAACCACTCTTCTAACTCTAGCATTAGCTGAATTCTATGAGTGCTTACAAACTATTAAATAACATGTGCTATGGAAATGTCAGGTTTGGGGCTAGAAAATAGATGCATTTTATTCTATAATTTATAGGATATGCTACATTGCACATTTGCCCTACAATTTGTTGCCCTTGCTAGTCTAATCCCTTTCCTTAATGACTGGCCTTGGAAGAGTTCCATGGTGAAAGATAAAAACTGAACAACAGGATACTATAGAGATAAGGTGAAGCCAGGCCAGAAGGACCTAAGGACTTGGTTCTAGAAGGCTCTATAACATCTGCAGAGATGCTTCATGAACTTGGGCCAGGCTCCATGACCTAGTCCTTAGAATGTGTCTTTATAGGATTTGTGGGGCAGGACTGGGGAGATGTGGAAAGGCACATTTCTTCATTCTTTCTTTGATCCCCTTATCTGAAGGTGTTCTATGCCAGAGGAGAGCCTAACTCAATTCTATTGACAAGAACAGAAAACTGTTAGCAATAAGGTTATCTGGTCTTCTTTCTTAAAATACTACCTCTTGGGGTGATCTTTCTGGATGCTAAATGACAAGGCCTGTAGTTACACATTCACTACCTAAAGGAGAAACAGTGATCTATTTATTGGCAAATAATTATTCTTCAAAAGAAAACAGGGACCAGAGAGGTTCAAATGGTTTTATTGAGCAAATATCTATATAGCCCCTCCTGCCTCCACTAGTCTTTTACCCCGAAAAGCAGGCCCATAATCTGGATATTTGAATATCACTGCTCCTGGGGGCTCACCAGACCTTGCACGAGTTCCTGATGTTCTAGAACAGAAATTGACTAATACAAAATTGTTAACTGCTCTTTTCCACTGGTGGCAAACTAAATATTACTCCAGTATGACTTTCCACTGGAAAGATTCCTTTACTATGCTAATTATAGTATATACATATATGTATATAAATGTTTATGTTTTCTGTATAATGGTTATAGAAGGCGGCTTTGGATCCCTATCCTCGCTTATTAGCCATGTGACACTCACTAAAGCCTGATTATCATCTACAAAATACTGCCTTCCTCACATGGTTGTTTTAAGGAGTAATGAAGTAACATTAAAAAAAAGTCAACAAAGCATAGAGGCTGGCATAGTATAGATGCTCAATATATTTTGTTCTCTTTCCTTCAAACTGTTTTAAATGCTTTTGGGACTGATAAACAAGCAAACAGTCCTTTAGTTCATCAGAATTATTACAAAAAAATTTCAATTCAAATGTACAGGAAAAATCGTGGTCTGTTTACTGTTATATCAAAAGTAAAATATTAAAGCTAAAGAACGGTCCTTGCTTTGAAGGCACTTACAAACCAAGATTAAGTAAGATCCTTGGGACAGAGACAGGATGGACCCTTAAAGACAAGTTCTGCCAAATACATTATTAGCAATGCTCCTACATAGAGCAATGTCAACATCCCATCCTCGCCCCTGGGACACAATTTGAAACAAGCCCATTTAGTATCCCCATGAAGGCCCTTGAAAACTTAACTTGGAAGGTGAAACAATCGGAAGGGAATGCAGTTTTAGCTTTCTAACATATCACAATCAGTGTGCATCAAACTACTTTTTAAAACCATTTCTTTAAAATTTTTACCATTTAAATGTCCCTGTTTTCTGTTAAGTAACAAAACATTTAAGTGGTACAAAGCTTATTATAACTGATGTCAAAGAAAGAGACTGAGGTATAGCGAAGAGAAAGGCAAAATGAAATAAAGCAGTCAAGTTAGTAGTGGATGGTACAGGGAAGTCAATGGAGGCTAAATCAGAAATATCTTCTGCAATGTTATGTGCTTAGGACACACAACTCCAAAGCATGGCACATGGGTTCATTCAATAAGATATTGACAAAATGGTAGAAGCAGGAAGGCTGGTTGCTCTGACACACCCTGTCCCTTCTCTTTCCTGAAAGCTAGATAAATCTGTCACTTTTAAGGTACCCTCCCTATACCAGGAGGGAGACATCCTTATCACTAGAGTCAGGGAATTGAGGGCTGACAAAGATCTATAAACAGACATTGTTACATCACCACTTCACTACCCCTGGCCCAAACCCTGTCTTACCAACTCTTTACAAATATGTCTAAAAGGTATAAAAGCTTCCTGCTCTGGTCATTTCTTTGAGCCTCATAGCTTTCTGGGGCTCCTGTACCTACATACATAATTAAATTTTTCACCTGTGAAGCTGTCTTTTTATTATAAGGGATTTTCAGCTAGAGGCAAAATTATTTTCCTGCCCCCCCCTTAAAATTTTGTAGACTTTGTGGTTAGGGTATTAGGTGGATATAAAAGTACCATTGAGAGTAATGCATACATGAAAATGTAAAATAATGCTATATACAAAATCATAGTAATTCATTTTATATTTAATTAAAATACTTTCTGTAGTTAAGTGTGAAAACCTCAGAAGGCAGTTTTGGACAATAGACAGTTCTGCCTTTGGAGGTAGATGACCTGTGTTGTACCATCTTAAAGATGTGTCATCTTGGTCAAGTTACTTCAATTCATCTTGAAATTGGGGGGGATTCTCTATCGTAAGACAGAGAGCTGGATCATCTTTTGAGAAATCATCTAGTGGTCTGATGGTGATAAAGGAAGGGTTTTGAGATGAACAAGGGCATATGCGTTCTTTATTGACTACTTGGGCCATAATGTATTGCCTAGGATGGTGAGAGGGAGGGTACATTCAAAAGTTGAGAAAGATTAGAGGACAAATACAGACTTTTAAGCATCTAGAATTCAGTATCTTGTTATCATAATTATGTTGGTTAACCCCTAGTAGGAAGCTATGCTTTTTAATCTTAAAGGTTACTACCCATAAGAGGTTAAAGATTTTTAAAAAGTGGGTCAATCTATAGGCCTCTACTTAAAACAAACACCTCAAACTAATCTGCAGTAGGAAAAGGGCAATCATCAAACATGACGAGGAAAGCAGCTCTCATTTGCAGCCACTGTTACACTAGATGTATCCAATTACTCTAATGAACATGTATAATGCCAATCACACAGTAAGAGGAACCATTATTTGATAAAAAATAACAGGTTCATACATATTATAATACAGCCTGACTAGAAGTATAAATATGGATAATGCAAAACAGCCTGCGGATCCCCTCACCCCGCTCTGTTCTTGGGATTTTGCTTGGCGCCCAAAAGTTGCTGCTGATTAAGCTAAATGTAGAGTTGGGCAGAGAGCCTTTCACCAGGACAAGTCTTGGTATGAGGATATCTGCTGAATTCAAGTCTTTTTCTGTATGTTTTGCTCTGTAATTAATATTATGCTAGGACACTCTCTGCTCTGTATTTAGATGACTTCCTTCTGGTTTGCCCAAGGCCTCATTGCCTATGATGAGATGTAAAGGATGAGGGCCAGGCCTGGACTCAGCAATCTGGGGAACATCAGGTTTCCACTGCAGAAAGACAAATCAAGGTTCAAAGTAGAAACCCAGGGAGCCATTCACCGCACTGTGGAGTGTGTCTCCCACTGTGAGCCCTGATGGCAAGGAACTCCTTCAAACTTGGAAATACTTGGTAGAAAAGGTGCTTAAAAAATATATCTAGAATTTTACTAAGTTGCCTATTTTTCTCCTCCAATTCAGACACTGAAATTCAGAATCAGTGGGTGCTAGGGCTTCTGGATAATAAACCACTCCCAGGGACAGAACTGGGCGTTAGTGTTTATTCCAATCTTCAGGAAATCGGATAACATAGTCATCTCCTACTATTATGCATAAGGTGGGGATGGGGGAGAAAGCAGGAGAAAGAGTTCATTCATTCATCTAGAGCATCAAATTGTGTGTCCCAGACAATTCAAGTTATTGGGCAGAGAAAGATGAAAAGAGAACAGGTTCTTACCATGAAGAATTATGTAGTTTAGAAATAACAGGAACTTTAGTAATGCTGGGGATTCACAGCAAAAATCTAGAATACGGGGATAAGTTATATGATCAAAACAGAAGCTCCTATTCAAGGGAATTAAGAAAATGAAAGGAAACAAATGTATATTTCATCTTCAATTCAGCATAACATAGTACTAAGTTTTTGTTAAAGTATACTTTCTTAATTTTGCAAGTGAAAGAACTCAGACCCAAGTGGTTAAATTACCCACACAAGATCATTTTACTGGTTTCTAACAAAGAAGTACTCACACAGTTTTTTTGATGCCCAAACCACTGCAACATTTAAGTGAAGCAATTTAGCCAAAGGTAGTGGTTCTCAAAGTGAGAAACCCAGAGCAGCAGCACAGCACCCTAGAGAATTTGTTAGAAATGCAAAGTCTCAAGCCCCAGCATAGATTTAGTATCAGAAGCTATACGGGCAGCCTGGAAAATCTGTATTTGACAAACTCTTCAGGTGCTTGCAATGTGAGATAAGTTTGAGGATCACTACTTAAGGCAAAATAAGTAAAATCTGAGGTCAAAGCAGAGAGGACCCAACTTTTCTAGTGTTAGATCACATTTAAAGAAGGGTTTGCAAAAGCAGAAACACTCTAGGACCATTATATGTTTTATGCTTGTGCTAAGTTAACTGTTTAAAATGTTGTAAATCTTAACTTACCTCATCTGTATAGTTTGTAAAGCTCAAGGGTCCCTCACATCGTAGTAAACTTTGCCGTGCCCTTGAAATGACTGTCTACTGCAATAAAGTATATAGAAAGAATGCAAGAGGGGTACAGCTGGAGGAGAAAGGGGGAAAGATTATGAATCCCAGGTGTTTGGTCATAGGTAAAGTCCCCTTCCTCCCTCCAACCCTGCCCTCCCTCCTAAGCTAGAATTAATAGCATAAATGACCCAAGAGAAATGGCCACAAGCTCTAATTGCTCCACGGTCACACACTTCCCACCGGTAAGTCTCCCAGAGCTACCCCACAACCTTTCTGAAGTGACTTTCTGGATCAAGGCCCATGGGGCAGCTTGGAAGAGAAGTTGGGAGGAGGGATGAGGGACTCCACTAGCCTTCCTGGTGGCTTCTGATTGAAGCTGCCCTGGGTGTCACCTGCGGAGTGTGGACAGACAAAAAGCAACAGTTCTAAGCCTAGCCGCTAAGGAAGAGCCTGGATGTGGCACTGCTCCCTGGACCAAGGTGGTCCACGAAGTGCTAGTTCTAAGAGCCTACCTCTGGGGAGCTTAGTACAGGGACCAAGATAGACCGGGTATATCAAAGAACCTAGGAGACAGGAACATCCAGTGTCCAGAAAAATAAAAATGGAGCGAACACTGGCATATATATCCAAGTCATACAAACTAACAAACTCTCAGTCAAACCAGACAAAAAGTACGGAGTGATGGTGATATTGATAAGTGTCAGAACTGGCCGTGAGGAGTGAGGGTGAGGGGAGGGAAGTAGCAAGGGGAGACAGAGCCACCAGCTGAGGCGAAGCTCGGGGTCGGTCAGGTCACAGTGGCAGCTGAAAAACCACAGGCCAGATGTTCGCCAAGGTCTAGTATGATGGTGGGCGATACGATCACGGGAAAGTGTATCTGCGTGTGCGTCGGGGGGATGGGTTAGTGGTGCTAAAAGATGGGCAGGGAGTCTGCAAGGGGAATTCGTGAACAATCTGAGAGGCGGGGTGAGGAAAGACTTCGAGAAATAAAGGGGCCTAGACCACTCCTCCCTCGTTCCGGCGCGAGGTTAGGGGAGGGGGGGCGCAGCTGACTCGAAAGCAACGAGAGGTACGAACTAACTGCGTTTCTGCAGGCCTCGGGAGGGGGCGGAGGGCGGTGGCTTTAAAGAAAGAATCTTTGAGCGCCATCCGCGTTCCCGGGGGGTCTAGCTCGGGCCACCAGGAAACAGCGGGTCCACGACGGCTCCGCACCTCACTACGCTGCCGCCGCCCCTTCCCCGGGACGGGGCGAATTCCCCAGGGTCCGGGAAGGCGGGGTCTGCAACCCCTCCCTCTCCCCACCAGCCCGACTCGGCCCGATTCGGCCCGACCCCGCCCGGCCCCCCAGCACTCACGGCTCCGACAGCTCCTGCGGCTCCTCCCCTGCCCCGGCTCGTCCCCCACCCACTCCCGGCCGGAGCTGCGCCGCCGGATCCGAGCGGCGCGGGGCCTGGCCGGTCGGAACACGTGGGGCCTTTTCTTCCGGAACCGGAAGCTGCTCCTGGCCCCGCCTCCTCGCCGCGCTGGGGCCTTTCTAGGCCGTGGGAGGTTCGGTCTTCTCAGTGTGCCGGCGCTTGGCGGAGCTCGGCGACCCGCTAGGTCCCGGGGCGGAAAGCCTCAGACCAAAACTCTTCCGCCGGATGCTGGCCCTCTCTGCAGCAAGGGACCTGCAGTTTACTCGCAAACCTTTGCAGGGGTTTCTGCCCCCCCGCCCCATTTGTGATTTTTTTTTTTTTACTTGTTTAGAGTACTCCTCTTCTTTACATTTTTATCATAACTAAACCCCCCCCCCCTTTTTTCCACGAAGCACAATGGAGAAGAGCAGTTTTGGCTTTAAATATTGGCTCTTGCATTCACCAGTGGTTGCAGGACCTCGAGCAAATCTTTGCACCTCTTTGAAAACCAGTGTCCGTTTTCTAAAATGCTGTTGTCTGAGGGTAATATGAGACATTTGCATGTGAACCTCAGCAGAGAGGAATTACTCTATTTTTTCCTTGAACATTTATTTGCGACTGTCATTCCTCAGCTCATTTACACGTTTCTGTCTGGGACATTTTTGCCCATACCTGCTGGTTTTGTTTTTACTCCTTTTGCTCCTTTCCACCCTCTAAGTCACCGCCCGTGTTACACAGGGCCTCTCTTCCGTATCTTTCACATTTCATTTTTATGGGACACCTTGCTGCTTTTGATGGAGGACGAGGAATAAGTTCTTTAAGTTCATGAAAGCCTTCTGTATGCCAGATGTTTTCTCTGTATAGCTCATTGAATATTTGAAAATAGTAAAGTTAAAAAGTAATGAGTAAATATGGTCTCAACATTTAAAAGAAAGTAATTGACCATTTACCAATCATGGTTTTCATTGCTCCACCAAAAGTTTATTCTTATGAATCTGGTGTGTTTATCTTCCAGACCTTTTCTGTGCTTTTACATACAATATGCAACAGATCAAACTGGAACTGTCACTCACACCTTGAAAGGCAAACTCTGAATCATGAAATTGTCTTTACATGAAGTTTTATTTGAGATGGCTATCAATGGAATCGCTGGGATAGTCACTCCAAAAGAACCAGCTCCCCAAATGGCATAAGTGCCCAGATTTTATAAGTGATGTAGGTTTGAAGAAGTGTGTGTGGAGGTAGTTTGGTGAGCGGGGTCCCTTAGGTTACCTGTGAGAAAAGTTTCAGCGGAGTTCCCCTTTCAGCAGCACATGGCAGTTTTACTCAAGAAACAAAGATGTTTGCACAGACACAGGCAGGTGAAGGTTACATTTTAAAGGGACAGGTTTATAAGGAGAAAGGGAGGCACCTGCGTGGTCACAGGTGGGCAGGAGAGCTACCTCTGCTGCTTTGTAAAGGGAAAAGGTTTGTGAAAAGAAACACATGCATAGTCACAGGCAGGGAGAAGAGCTGTTTGCCAACACAGAAATTATACTGATACAGTGTTCTTCTTTTGGGGAGGGGTCATTCCTTTCTGGAATTGTTATCTATTGTTAATCACTTCTAAGGTGTGAATAGGGTGATTTGTAAGGACCTATGGTTCTCTACAATGACCCTTAATCTCCACCTCTGCTCTGTCCCTTTAATACTTTATTTTTTTAGAAGATTTATTTATTTATGCATACAAGAGCTGGGGTGTAGGCCAAAGGTGCCAGGAGGTGAGAGGATTCACCACAGACAGAGTGGGGAGCAGAACAGGTGGATTGACTGAGGGAGCAGTGAGCGAGACAGGAGAGGTCTGCTGCACCATGTGGGTTAGCTTCCTGGCTGGGGATCGAACTCGCGCGCTGCAGTAGCTGGTGATAGCTTCATAGTGCTGAGACTTAACTCCTTGCGCCACCAGGGAGGCCCCTTTAATATTTATATAGCAGTCTGATACTTTAGCAGTTGTGCCTAAGGATTTTTCATTTCTATAGCTGGTTTAACAATTATGGTAATAATTTCTATTATCACACCTCCAGTTTCTGGTTGCTGATGCTTCCATCCTAAATTTTCTCTTAGCCTTCCCCATAAGTGGTGAAGGCATGTGAATAAAGAGCAGGGTCTCACATTTCCAGGTCCTAGTTGGTGCTGGACAATCTAGGGGATAGGAGTCAAGGTGTTTGACTTTCCCAGCAGGGTGTTTTCGCAGCAGACAGCAGATGTGTTTTTTTTTGATGCCAGAGAGATTCAGAGGGTTGTAACACAATCAATTTTCCAAGTCCCCAGGAATGCAGGAGTTAACAGTTAATTCTGAAGAGGGAATGCAAAAGGGTGGTTAGAGTTAATTCCACTTATTCCTAGCTTTTAGTCTCGTATGTTTTCTGTTGCAAAATGGAGGGAATCCAGGTAGAAATTTAGATATGTATTCGTAGAAAATATATAGTATATTTTGTGTGAACATGCATAAATATGTAGCCTTTTTTCTTTTTTTCACCTAACAGTGGACCTTGGAGATCTGTCCAAAATTGTACACACTCCTCCATTCTGCGTAACTTCCCATAGTACACCAAATTTTAATCACTAGACCACCAGGGATTTTCTATAGTTGGATCAGCTATTTGCTTATTGATAATATATAAATTGTTTACACTTGTTTTCCGCAAACAATGCATTGTTACTCTGTGGCAAATACTGAGAAAAAAGTATTACTGGGTCATAGGTTGAATACATGTAAGATAGTGCTAGATTTCTTTTTTTTTTTTTTTTAAAGATTTATTTATTCATGCATACAAGACCTGGGGTACAGGCCAGATGTGCAGAGGGTGAGAGGATTCACCAGAGACAGAGTGGGGAGCAGAACAGGCAGACGGACTGAAATATATGCTGACGGGAGCCGTGGGCGAGACAAAAGAGGTCTGCTGCGCCATATGGGTTGCTCCCTGGCAGGATTGCTTCATAGTGCAGTACTTAACCCCTTGCGCCACCAGGGAGGCCCAAGTGCTAGATTTCTTTCCAAATGACTGTACTAGTTTCAGCAGTATGTAAGAATATTTTCTTCCTCGATCCATGCTTTTACTTCATATTGCCACACTTGTGAATTTTGGCTAATCTGATGCATTAAAAAGTGATGTTTAATTGTTTTACTTTGCCTTCCCATGATTAATAGTAAATAACCATATAAAAATAAACATCAGTTTTATACATTTATTTATAATTTGTCATTTTCCTATGAGTTTGCTCATTTTTCTATTGGATTTTTTTTATTGTTAGATAGACTTGATGTTACACATTTGACATACATGTTGCAAATGTTTTCTTCATAAATTTAAGCTTGTATTTGTTGACTAAGATAAAAGTCTCAATAATATCAATAGTTAGATTAAGAGCTTATTAGAAAATCAAAGTGAAGATTCAAACCTGAGAATTAGTCTGACAGATTTTACTCCATGAGAACTGTTCCAACAATCCCAAGTTTGGGTTTAGTTAAGATAAGACCCATGCATCATTAACATAAAAATGTAATTATTCTTGAGGGAGGGTAGGGAGGAGTTTCTACTTTTCTATAGGCTTAGATCTTTCAATTTCTGAAGTTATCTTGATTGCAAGATATGTTGATGCTATCTGTGCACAGAGGAGGGCTAATGTTGGGGTTTAATCAAGTCTCAGATTTCTAAAGAATGCACTGTGGCAATGCAAAGGATGAGTTTGATTGTTTAACTTTTGTTATCTTGTTCCTTGCTTATTAGTGGGGTCCTGAAAGACTGGCGTATGTGCAGGCAGCATATTTGTACATAACTGCTTCACAGGATAGGAATAGGACAGCAGTTCCTGTTGAAACTTGAAAACCTATACAGACAGCTTTGCTCTCTTGCCTTCTGGATTCCTAGAACATACTCTGTGTTTACAGTATTAAAGTTTGTATCCTTTTTCTCAGTGCCTTTGAATTTTGTGTCTTATTAAGAACATCATTTGCACACCAAAGTTACCGGTGCTTCCTCTTATATTTTCCTTTACTGCCTTTTTTGTACTCACTATTATGGTTGGATTTTGAATTTATCTTTTGTGACTAGTGTAAGAAAGACAGCAGGAACTATTTAGCTGAAAAACCCTGGGGAAAACATATATGTGTCCTCCTCTTGGGGGTTTAGAGTATGTATGAAGATCCTTAGAACTGAAAGAGTAATCTTGAATTAATATTTGTAAGGCAAGAGAGAGCTGTATCATTCAAATGTGAGCTTGGTGAATCTTTTGGAGTTGAAAGGGAAAAGGCTAGATCTAGGATGAGGAGAGGAAATTTTGCACAATTTCAGCAGGATCATGAGGTCATTACTTGATTGCCTAAGGAAAGGGTTGGAAAGTCTCCTTTTGCAGTAGCCATTGCTTGGGTTTACATCAGTAATTATGGGAACAGTTCTTAATAATGCCCAGAATCATATAGTGGACACTTTCATGTGAATAAGCTTATTTGGAAAATTTATTCAACATGGTGTTAAAGATTCTGAGAAGCTGTGTAGTGAAGAAATTGCTTAAACTTGTTTAACTCTGTGGCTCGCCTGATTTGAATACTTAGGCCTGATTTTAATAACAAATATAGAACACATTGTGGAAGCACTGCTTTACCTGTGTGTGCATTTTCAGGAAAAAACTCAAGAACTTATTGTCAAGGATTTGGCTCAGATGTATGTCCATTGTTATGTCCAAAGACAATTGTCATTAATGTTACCGATAGTAGAAAAATAATTAATATCCAGGGATATGAGTAGTAGGTTGTTTATGATAAAGTTTGAATGGATCTTTGTGTAATTTCATATGTGCATTTTGGAAAGACATTGGGCGTTAGTGACCAAAGAACAATGTAAAGTTTCAGGTGTTGTCGTATTGTCTATATGGCCATTTTCCTCAAAATTGTGTTCCAGTTCTGGCTCAGACCACACTTCCTCATTGCCTCTTGCCTCTTGCTGGTGAAGAAAGGTCAGAGCTAAGGCAGAACAGCCTTGAAATTCTCTTGTAACTCATGAATCTTGATGGTGAAGCTTCTCCATTGGCTAGTCTTTTCCTTTTAACTCTGCATTTCTTTTTATTTATTTATTTATTTTAAGATTTATTTTATTTTGCTGCACCCCTCTGCAGTGACCTTCAGGGCTAATGGCTGTTGCCATGGTCCCTGAGGTGCGGCGTGGGCAAGGAACCATGCGCGCAGGGGGAGAACAGCAAACTCCCTAAGATGCAGAGAAGCGGAATGCCTGCCAAGAGATAATGACCACCAGAAGCTGCCACAAAGATGACTAAAAGAAATGCTGACCACCTGGAACCTTATCTCGCTTTCTCAAGGCCCACAAACTTTATTCTGCTACAACTGTCTCTCTAAAATCTTTCCTTTTTCTGGTCATTGATTGCTAATTAAAAAACATACATAATTTAATAAATAGGCTAATCCAAATGAAACATTACTAAACACTGTGTAATAATAGAATTGTTAGTTTAATAATCTTTCTATTATGTGCTTGACTTTAGTACCTATGATATTAACTGCATTATAAAATAAATTCACCCATGACAATTAATTATGAGTGAAAATGAGTAATAGTGATAGTTAGTGCAACTAGAAAATAATTATATAGAACAGTAGAAAGAATTTATAGCCTGTCCAATTAGGAATGAGGCTAGGTCCAGATGTAACTTCGGACATAAATCACTGCCCTGTCAATTAAGCTAAGACTATGAGCAAACTGATCTCTTTGATGTTTACTGTTCCTATGCCTTTAGAAAAAACATATATATACTGACCACTAGCTTAATAAAGGCGCACTCAGATTTACACTCTCTCTTGAAGTGTGTCTGTTTGTCATTTCTTTAACCGAATCCCTGACCACCCTGCGCAGTCTCTCAACCCTGAAACGGCCTCATCGTCTGCTGCTGTGCTGGTCCGTGGCATTATTTTATTATTTATTTATTTATTCAAGGACTGGGTACAGTCAGAAGCGTGGGAGGGTGAGAGAATTCACCAGAGCCAGAGCGGGGAGCAGAGCAGGCAGAAGGACTGAAGTACACTGCTGAGGGGAGCAGCGGGCGGCAGGAGAGGTCTGCGCGCCACGTGGGACCCTCCTCCGCTGGCCGGGGAGCAGCCGGGGATCGAACTGGCGCTGCAGTTTAACTCTGCATTTCTAATTCCTACTACTAACTGCGTTTCCACCTTCTAGAACTGATTCTCTGACAGACTAAAAATATGAATTTGTTTTCAGCAGAATCAGTACTAGGCATGTTGCTTGGTACATGATAACAATGTATCAACAAAACATGAAAAATGTGTGAATACATGGTGTTTCTTTTGAGTTTCATAAACTAAAGTGTGGTAGTACTCTCACATTTGTTTTCTCTCTTATAGAGCCTGTCAAGGTGTTTTATGTTACTCTCTGCCATCAAACAGGAAACTCTTAAAATAATAGGCGAGACCCAGGAAAACTAATGTTCATGAAACTTCAAGGCAGATTAAAAATAAATTTAGGATTAGGAGATCAATTTTATTGTCATATAATTTAGGTGTAATTGCTTTAAACTGCACTGTTAAATGCACTGTTAAATCAGTTTTGGAAACTGATCTGCTTTAAAAAATATTTTAAAATAATATCATAACCCCGGTGTCCCAACTTCTCTAGATCTAGGTTACCTGAAGACATCCACAAACCAAGTCTGAAGTTCTTTCCAAAATTTCTGTATATTTTTTGGCCATTCCTGTGAACTTACTCATGGATTGTTTCATTCAAACCACATCCTTCCTGATGTGAGACTCTGCTCTTCTTTGGGTTAACACATACAACACACACACACACACACACAGGCATGCGCGTGTGCGCATATGATGTATACATACCAATCATACACACATTTGGTAATGTGGAAGACTTTACTGAAGATTTGAGGGGAAGACAGATTATATTATAGAAATCTGGGCTCAAGTTGAGCATCCCCATTCTTTTTTTTTTTTTTTTTTTAAGATTTATTTATTTATTTATACAAGCACTGGGTACAGTCAGAAGCGTGGGAGGGTGAGAGAATTCACCAGAGCCAGAGCAGGGAGCAGAACAGGCAGATTGACGAAGTACACTGCTGAGAGGAGCAGCAGGGGCGCAGCAGGAGAGGTTTGTGTGCCATGTGGGACCCTCGCTGGTGGCCGGGGATCGAACCGGTGCTGCAGAGGCTCGAACCAGCGCTGCAGAGGCTGCGGGCAGCTTCGCAGCCCAGCTCTCAACCGCTGTGCCACCAGGGGAGGCCCAAGCATCCCCATTCTTAAAGTGCTCTTCAGGGTCCCAAACTTTGAACAATTTCCACTGGCTTTTTGTCAAAGGCTTTTCCTGCTCCATGCCATCTTTTTTTTTTTTTTTTTTTTAATCAAGGTTTTCCACTAGAGTATTACATTAGAAATGAGTATGGGGGTGAAGATATGCAGATATTTTCAAAATTACATAGTAATAAAAATTTAACATACTGCATTCTTCCATTTGCCATGTTTAAAAAAGAATAGCTCAACTCCATAGTCAGCTGGCCGCAGCAGTCATTGCCTTCCTTAAGACTCCTTTTACCTCCTTACTCACTGTGTAAATGAAGGGATTCAGCATGGGTGTGAGGATAGTATTTAGCACTGACACCTTATATACCTTAAGGGAGATCCCTTATATCCCTTATATCCTTATATATCCTTATATATCCTTATATATACCTTATATCCCTTAAGGGAGGAATGTGCTGTGGGTCTTAGGTACATGAACAAAACAGCTCCATAGAACAGGGAGACAACTGCCAAGTGAGAGGCACAGGTAGAGAAAGCGTTCTGGTGGCCAGTAGCTGAAGGAATCTGTAGGACAGTGGACAGGATGTAGATACAAGAAATGATCGTGAAGAGAAGTGACCCTGGGACCACCAGAATGATTGCCAAGAGACCTAGGAGCTCGGAGATGCTTGTGTCGGCGCAGGCTGCTTTCAAATTCTAATATGATTCACTTATTTTTTAAAGTAGACTAGGGGCCTCCCCGGTGGTGCAGCGGTTGAGCTCAGGGTTGCGAAGCTGCCCGCAGCCTTTGCAGCACCGGTTGGATCCCCGGCTGCTCCCCGGCCACCGGAGGAGGGTCCCACATGGCGCGCAGATCTCTCCTGCCGCCCGCTGCTCCCCTCAGCAGTGTACTTCGGTCCTTCTGCCTGCTCTGCTCCCCGCTCTGGCTCTGGTGAATTCTCTCACCCTCCCGCGCTTCTGACTGTACCCAGTGCTTGTATAAATAAATAAATAAATCTTAACCACCCCCCCCAAAAATAAATAAAATAAAAGTAGACTAAAAAATATTCAAAACTGAATGGATAAAATAGTCTAGGAGACTGCTTAAGAAATGTACTAAAACTGAAAATTGTATAGGGAATTGTACAAAATTTTAATTCAAAAGTCTTAGCTGAATCAGGGACTAATATATAAATTAATAAATGTAGTTGAATAAAGGTCTGTAGTCATGAACCTAAAAAAGTAAAAAAGGGCCTCCCCGGTGGCGCAGCGGTTGAGCGCTGGGTTGCGAAGCTGCCCGCAGCCTCTGTGGCACCGGTTCAATCCCGGCTGCTCCCCGGCCACTGGGGGAGGGTCCCGCTTGGCTCGCAGACCTCTCCTGCTGCCAGCTGCTCCCCTCAGCAGTGTACTTCGGTCCTTCTGCCTGCTCTGCTCCCCGCTTTGGCTCTGGTGAATCCTCTCACCCTTCTGCACTTCTGACTGTACCCAGTGCTTGTATAAATTAAATAAATAAATAAATAAATAAATAAATAAATAAATAAATAAATAAATCTTTAAAAAAATAAAAAAATAAAAAAAATAAAAAAGCGAGCAAATGTTAAGGAGCGCAAACTCAACACCCTGGAAAAGGCACTGCTATCAAAACTTTCCTTTGCGACTTAGTATCTTTTTAAACCAAGTACACCATTCTTATTTATAGATGCAGATTTATAGGCTGAGAATTTCTTTCTGTTATGTTAAAATTCATTAGAAAATAGTAAACTACTTCCTGTTTTACTGAGGATATTCTTCTATATGGCTCTCTTTTTCAGTGACTAAGATAAATTACTCTGATATAATTTTCAAAATTGTCAAAGTATAGAGGAAAGTTAGCTTGGAAGAGGCAGCTCACTGTTCTTTGACATGTAGCTTAATTCTTCTCCCATTTGAGAGAACACTAATTCTCTGAGAGCTTAGGGAAAAAGGATACTTCTATTCCGTCCCACTTTTCTAGATCAGAAAAGAATTATTCTTGTCTATAATATCACAAACTCTAGTTCTTTTCCATGAAACTGAGAAATGGAGAAGTATTTGAACTTGCACTAGTAGCTAATGAAACTACTCATGAACTTGGTATTACCTGAATTTATCTTCATTTCCTATGAAGAGGTGAATGGCAATCTCTCTTGGGCAATACAAAATTTCCAAGGGCTAAACATTCCACAATTTGGAAATTTAAACTTATTTAGTCCACAAACATTTGTTGTGTACTTACTATGTTCCAAGTTCTGTGAGATACTTAAGGAGTTTATCATTTAGATAGAGGAGAAATAGGTAAAAATAGGTAAAAATCACAGCATAATCCAGCAAGTGAAGGTGTAGATTTGTGTACATATTGGAGAACACCCAGAGGGACTCTTTACTCAACCTGGGCAGGGGTCAAGAATGGATTTCCAGAGAAAGCTGTGACTAAGTTGAGTCCTAGGAGATCAGCAGGAAAAGAGAGTTGAGGAGGGAGGGGAAATACCTTCCAGACAAAGACCCAGTGTTTTGTGAAGTAGACTAGAACTGTAATCCAGTTTGAACTGGAGTTGGAAGTCAGAAATGTCCGGAAACTTCTGATAAGCAATCAGGTTGGGCAGGCCTATCAGTCAGTTACTAGATAAATCCATGAAATTTTTGAAGGGGAGAATCCTGAGTCAGGGATTTGCTAACATTGGGCCAAGGGTGTGTGTGTGTGTGTGTGTGTGTGTGTGTGTGTGTGTGTATGAAATATGGTGGTAGCCTTCTTCTCCAACACATGGACACATTTATCTGCACTTAAGGAGGTAGGGGCTCAGGTAGTGATTGAGCTCTTTTGAGATCCTGGTAGAACTACTATGGATCCAGCTGACACACTCACACAGTGTGGTACATACAGGGAGATACAGATTCCCTTTGCTTTTGTGAGGAATGTTACTTGGCTTTAGTACCATGAGGACCCAGGAAGAACAGCAGTGGTGTCAGCAGGAATGGCAGTGCCTGGCAAGAGCAGTGCTCCAGGAGAAGTAGCAGCAGGGCCCAGTGGAATGGTTGCAGAGCAAAAGAGAGGAGGCAGACCAGATAGTAGCCATCTGGACAGTTGAGAGGGCTGGGTTGTGAGCACATGAGAAGTTGTGAGACTTTGAAGGAGGGTACCTGTCTTGAGTTAGCAGGTAAAAGAATATGCAGAGAAACGGGAAACTAACCACAGGAAGTTAAGGTTAGAGCGTTAAAATACTAAACTCTGAAGTCTATATATATACTAAACTGTATGTTCTACACTTGATCTTATCCAAAAGGCCGAGAAGCGATAAACTGTATGTTCTAGACTCATGTTTTCCTTTAGAAAAGTCACATTGTGTAGAGACACAATATTTCTCTTCATTTCCCCATATCAATCAGTTCCTGAGTCCTGTTCATTTTATCTCCTTACTCACTCTCCAATCTATTTCTTTCTTTCCATGTCATCTAGGCTACTTTAGTTGATGCCTTCATCTTTCATCAGACTCCTGTCTCCTGATCTATCATACTCTCTTCTTCCATATTTAAAATTATTGCAAGAACAGTCATTCTGAAAACAGTTTTGAGCATGTCACTCAAACCGTGAGGGTAACATCCAATCCTCAGCCTCTGATGACCATCTTACTTGCTTGATATTCTAGTCTGATCTGTCATTTTTCTTTCGTCCTTCTCCATTCTGCACTTCATGCATATTGGATTAACCCGATTCAGCAAACTATGACCCTGTGTTTGTAAATACAGTTTTACTGGGAACACAAGCTTCCCAATTTGCTTGTGTATTGTCTGTGGTTGCTTTTTTTGCTACCACAGCAGAGTTGTGCAAATGAGATCATATGACTCACAAAAACTAAAATATTTACTATTGCATGCTTTATAGAGACAGTTTGCTGCTAAATCAATAAAAATTTACAAGTGTCCCAATGGAAGACGGGACAGTGTGAAAGAAAGGATGAAGTTCAAGATAATACATTTTTAATGGCCAGGTTTAAAAAAGAAAAGAAACAGTTTGCTGATCCCTCTCTAGTTCACTGGAGATACATCCTCGTCTACATATAGTCTTTATTGTCTACATGAACAATGGTTCATGCTGTTTCCTTTGCCTATAACACCCTTCCCTGCTTTCCATTATTTGCCTAAATCCAATCTGATTTCTAGATCTCTGTTGAGGAAACACCTCCTGGAAAGCCTTGCCTCTACTTCCCATTTCCAGTCCAGTGCAGGTTCCCAGTGCTTCTACTACACCCTGCACCTCTGTATCTGAAAACTTATAGAATTGAATTTACTGTTTGCTTAGCTTCCACCACTGATTGTAGCCCTTTAAATGCAGCAATAGTATTTGCAGAGCATAAGCCAACATAAGTCTTCAAAAGATATTTTCTGATTATTTATATATGGATATATTAAAAGTTTGTTAACAATGAGGCAGTTACTATTACATTTATGTATGCTGATACATGCATGAGTTTATAAAATGCTACTATACTAAATATTCAAATGCTGGAGTCTGTAAAATAGGATTGTTTGCTGAATTATCTTTTTCCAAGTCTGCTGCTGCTTCCAGTTCTGCTACATGTAAATCTTTCTCCTCCATCTTTCTCTAATCAGGGATATATGTTTCTTACCCTGCTCTGGTTTTTCTCCCAACCTTTCCAGGCTGCCTGTGTATAGATAGCTTTCTTAACTCATTCAATGATAGATGGTTTGAGATGGAGTTAAATCACTTTCTGAGCTATACTGTTACAATCTTAAACTATTTATTGTCTCAAAAGAAGAAAAAGGGTAGAAAACTAGTAACTTAATTCTTTTTTTTTTTTAAGATTTATTTATTTATTTATTTATTTATACACGCACTGGGTACAGTCAGAAGCACGGGAGGGTGAGAGAATTCACCAGAGCCAGAGTGGGGAGCAGAGCAGGCAGAGGGACCGAAGCACACTGCTGAGGGGAGCACCGGGCGACAGGAGAGGTCTATGTGCCATGTGGGACCCTCCTCCGGAGGCCGGGTTGCAGCCGGGGATCGAACCGGCGCCGCAGAGGCCTGGGTAGCTTCGCAACCCAGCGCTCAATCACTGTACCACCGGGGAGGCCCAATAACTAATTCTTGTGTGGTTTTGGGCTAAACAGTATGTCCCAAGCCATTGTTTTTATTTGTTTGTTAGCTTATTTACTGTTTTTTAATTGATGATAGGGGCCAACTTTCATAATTTTGATCACATAAGTATAAACTATATGTATCCTGTGTATATATGTATAAAATATAAATTTGGAATGCCCAATAGAGCAATCTTAAAGCTGGGATACCTAGAATATATACTATAAGCTTTACAGAGGGAAATGCACCAACAATCACTACTTGAGGGCTGTGCTAAGTAGAGTGTAAATAAAGAAAACCAGTTTGAAATTTATCCCTAGGACTGATGGTTCTGGATAAGATACAGTGAATAAAAACCGTAGCCCAAATATTTACTGTGGCTTTTCTATATGAGACAAATTCATTTACTGGAATTTATTTTAAGGCTTTAAGGCATCAAGGCCAACTGCAGCTATTCATTTTAGGAAGAGCAAAACTTTATCCAAAAATAGGGAAATACTCTTTCCCTCTCTGTGACAAAGCAATACTCACAGCTTATGATTCCCAGGGAAACACTTTTGAGGTATGCCTTTGTCCAGGAGTAGACTGAAAGAA